ATTATATCAAAAATGAAATGAGTTAGGGATTCTTCCTTTCTTCACCATGAATTCAAGCAGAAATTACTGGCACTGGAGAAATAATTATGTGCTTAGTGGAAAGTAGTGGTAGCTGGTACAGCTATAAAAAGTAATTTTTATTTTCTGCACTGCTCTATATGAAAGTACTTTATTTACAGTGGAGAGCTACCAGAGTAGCTGGTAGAGGGCTATGCTTTAATTTTAGTGTGAGATTAATGAACTCATACCGAGTTCTGTGTTTTGTGTTGTTCCTATTCTCCTTAGTTTGGAAGAATAATCATTGAAATGAAGCTTTTATAGATCTGAGTAAATCCAACTAAACATTCCACTGACTAAATGTCTAGGTATCATCTAGATAAAAAGAGTATAAACCAAATCAGTGGCACTCCACAAGAAGACCAAATATGAAAAAAGCCTGTACATTTTTTTTGCTATTGCTAAGGTATTGGTTTATAGTGAGGAAGGCAGCCAGTGAGTGGGCACAGCAGAAGGGAGCAGCATTCCCTCTCTGGGAGGGCTGAGCTCAGTGCCCATGGATGAGCCCACAGATTAATGCAGACAACACAGACTAACACAGACTCTTCCTCTCCTGCCAAAAGGGACTGGAAGTGATCTAAAGTGCAAAAAGAGACAGAAACCACTGACTTCAGTGGAATGTGAAGCATGCTTTCTCCTTTGTTTTCCAGCATGTTTGACTGTTCAAAGAAAACACTGTCTCTAGCTTTGAATCTTTCCAGCTATAACATCAGTCAAAGTTAAAAGGTGCTGAGCCCTTTCTGAGAAGGTGCAGAGCCCCATGAATTCCCAGTAAGGCAGGAAATGCTAAGGAGCAGCCTTCCAACACTGAAACATGTTTGCAGTTTTCAAACCCTAGTGTTTCTGTGTAATAAAACTGCCCTGCTGGTACTAAATGTAATCAGTACCACGTGCCCCATCTCTCATGTAAGCATGTTTTGGAGAATACTTTCTACAATAGCTCATCTGTGGATTCAACCACAAATGAAATGTCTTGCTTACATTGCACTCCCTTTCCTGCCTGCCTGCACAGAGTAGAATGAACTGTTTCTTCAGTTATCAGGCAGTTTGTCTTTCTCTCTTCTTCAGTCCCAATATGTTCAGCATCCCTCCAGGGTTATTGTATTTCTAAATTCGCTGTATACACATAGATGCATAGACATGCAAATATAAAAATAGCATGACAGTTTCCTATAGCAATGCAAATAGGAAAAAAATATGGAATTCTTCTGGCTGAAAAGGCTTTATAGAGCATTCTGTCACTGAAAAGCTTTCAGTTCTAATTATACATATCTGAAATCAACAGAGTCCTATGAATTGCTAAGTATTTTAGGTAACAAAAATAATACATTTCCAGTGAGATCTTAAATCTTGTAAAAAAATGGAAATCAAAATTACAAAAATTTTTTAAAGTCTAGTTGTTTTCTTACTTATACACTCACACTGTCCACTAAGCCACTTGGCCATTCACCAGCACCTCTGAGGAACCTTTCTATCCACAGTTAGAACTTATTACTATTCCCTAGGAAAAATGTTTTGGAAAAAATATTTTAATCTTCATCCATGTTAAAAGCTTGCAGGTTCTCTTTTTATTTATTTGATTCCTGGGTTTTTCTAACCCTTCCACATTGGCCTCTCCATATACTTTCCTGCTCTCAAATTCTGTGTTCCTTACACAGTATACAGCAAGGTTCCCTAATTCTTGGCTTCCTGAGAGATGAAAGACTGGATCATTCTTTGTGGATTTGTGATAATATTATCACAGCCCAGCCCAGCTCTTCACACGTTGCATTGCTAAAATGAGTCAGCTTTTGATACAAAATGGTTTCATTTTTTTGACTGAAATTTGAACAGGCTTCTGGTGTACTTTGAGAGAAGTCACATACTAGTTTGAGTTTCATTCTTAAAGGGCTCACTAGTCTTCTGAGGTAACTCTACTGTTCTTTACACACTGTCACTTCTGAATGGTAGAGGAGGATCCTCTGATTTGGATCAGAGGAAATCATGGAATGTTCTTTGATTGACCAAAAGTGCATTTTTTAGGTCAATCATACAGCATAGGTGAATGAATGAAAGAAAACCAATTAGAATACATTTGTAATTTCCTCAGTATTTTGGTCTCCTTAAAAAGCTCTCTGAGAAATGAAACATATTTCATTAGCAAGAATCAGTTAGCCATAACCCACTCATGAGTTACTGTCCCATTTTAAAGTTGAGGAAATAACAGCAAAGAGTTAAAATGACTTCTTTTGAGTCATAAGAGAAACATCAATGTTGGTATTTCAGCAACATGCACAGGCTGCATCTGAGATTTTTGCTTCAAGGGCTGCACATATGAACAGCCTCCAGTCCCACAGAACTGAAATCCTAAATGAAGATAAATAAGAGGTTATGGTGGGAATGGAGGACAAGAGGGGTAAGTGACTTTCCTGTAGTCACACAGACAGAAATTCAGTTCTCTGATGCCACACCGAGATAAACAGTATAAATGTCAAACCTGCTTCCTAGACAAAGTCCAGACATGTTGTCTATGCCAGAGGAGCTAAACTACCCTTTTCTCTCCCCCGTCAACCTTTTCTCATTCTTCTTCCATTTTTATATGTTATTCCAAAGGTTTTCTGGTTTCTAGATATCTTCTTGGATGGGAAACAAAATCTTAGCTTTCTCAGAAGAGAGAGCTACATTCTTCTATAAAACAGATAGATAGTCAGCCAGAACACGACCCTCCCTTTAGCTCTCAAAGCTGCAAATACTTTATAATACATGTTCCATCAATGATTTGGCAGAACTATTCCAGTAATGATTGGGAAACACCTATTATAAAACTTCTTATGTACAAGGCCAGAAGATACAGTTAATGTTTGCATTTCCCTATTTCTTTTATTTCGGTTAGCAGCATAGACAATCTACATAGGTTCCTCTTTAATAAAACCAACAAGTCAACCATGCTTTATAAAAAACAAAAGTTAATGGTAATTTGAAGTCCAGTAGGAAATTATCAGAATTATTAATATGTTTTTGGGATACTTTTATAGTTTGATTACCTTCAGGATTTTTGTGGAATAACCTCTGGTTCAATGAGATCTGGAGTGGCCAAATCACACTCCCAGGGGAGGAAGAACTCTCTGCTGTATTCCTTCTTCTCATCTCGCAGTTAGACAAGGAGTGCAAAGAAGCAGACAGTGGGCCACGACTAGATGAGACTGTAGGAGCCCAAGTGAAATGTTAAATAAATGTATTTTTTCAAAATTGCAATCTGTGAAAGGTAACAAAAGATTCTTGTCTCTTCTGTAGGTTATCTGGGCTGCTTCTAAGAATGGATCAGAAGAAGTCTTCTGTTAGCTGTAAAGATTATACCATGGTAGGTTTTACCTAAAGTTTATATTGACTATTTAATACCTTAATATTTGAGTGTTCATTTATAAAGATTGAAAATAAAAGGGTTTTTTATTGTGATACTGAAAACTAAGTACCCCTCCCCCTTCACCTAGAAAATAATGTTATTTTTTTTCTGTAAGAAAAGCATTTTTATACAAAAGCTAAATCCTGTTAAATTGAGTCTAAAGCAATTAACCTATTTCTTACTGTCAGATTCAATTGTAATTTGACCTAAATGAAGACTAAAACCTGTGCTATACCAAATTACAATATTGTGTTGAACCTGAAAAAACATCACAACTGAAACAGGCTGTGCACATCTGAATGAAACAAACTCAAATGAGGGGCTGCTTTAGGATTGGCATTTTGGAGGCTGGGTATTCTTTTTCAGTCAAGGGTAAATCATATAATCAGAAATTCAGTGTGTAATTTGTATTGTGTTTTGGTTTTTTTGAAAAAAAGTATTTTGAGATGTCCTTTAATGACACAGTTTGTTAAGTGTTTAAGCTGAATAATCAGGGGACACACACACACACACACACACACACACACACACACACACACACACACGCACGCACGCACGCACAAATGTATACATATGACATTACAGCTATAAACAATGCAAAGATCTCCTCTATACCATAACTATGATTATTTGAGCTTGTCTGGAAAATGTCCCAATGTGTTCCCTTTCCATTTTAGTGTCCTTCTCTGAATTACAGACAACTACAAGTGGCAGGCAGTCTGAATATGTACCAAAAAAAAGTATAAATACTTTGTAGCAGCTTGTTAGAGCAGAGGAAATCACTTGACTGGACCAAGGTCTGTGGGATTTGTCATTCCAATAGAGTTTATTCTGACTCCACTGGAGATTGCATGGGATTATTGAATACTTGGGTTTCTACCTCTTTTGCCTGAAAAATGACCAGCGACCAGAATTATCACATTTTGGCAGATGGAGAACAACTGTTCTGTATTCTATAAGAACTAAGGTTTTCTTTTTGTCTTGATGGATGTTCAACAATGCAGTTCCACCTCTGCCTCTTCATGTTATAACATGAGAAGGATAGAGGAGCAATATTTTGAAATTTGACTTAACTCTTGTATTGCTGACCTACAGCATGACTGCACAAAGAGAACACATGACCCCATAAATCCTGCAAGATGGAAAAGGCCGTGGCTATGTGAATTGATTCATTTCTCTGTTACTGGAAAATCAACTTTGCTACAGTAACATGTTGTACTTTAAAGGTCACAGTGAACAAGGCTCTGATAAATCAGGCTTAACACCCACATAGACGGTTCATGATAACAAAACAGGCTTTAAAATAAGTAAACAAAAAAGTAGGTAGAACAGCCAGAATTCCATCTTAGCTGGATTAGAACAGAAAAATCATAAGTAGGAAAGCAGCACATTTTCTGCTGTCTGAGGCATTTTACAGGTGTCATCACAGTATTAATTCCAGGAGGGCAGGAATCTCATACAGTTCTTTATCCTATATACTTGCTATTAGACATATGTAGACAATCTGCTCATTTCTTCAGAGAAAAACATATAAATTCCTAAAAATAAATTATGCTTCAAACTTCTTGCCCAGAATGGTAACTTCAGTTGTCATCTGTAAGACTGAGAATAGAAGGATGTGATCAAATACATTGAAATGAAATTTTACATACCAGATCTTCTGGAATAACAAAGCAATGTTAGATAGCTGACCAAGTCTGAGAGAGTCTGGCAAGAATATGCTTCTGGATTTCACAGAGAGACAGCAAACAGACACTTTACTCTCAGGATATACAAAATTGAGTCTAGTGGTTTTGATTATTGCTTTCTTTGTGTTTTAAGCATGCACAGACTCCCCATTTATATAATCTAGCCATCTGCATACTCAGTGTGCCCATTTATCTCAACAGCCAGAAAGGCACTTGCATCCACAAGGCCTTGCTCTGACTTTCAAGTTCTTAGTGAAGTTGAAATGTAAGAATTTAATTTATTAAAATACAAGGTGTATATTTCACTTGTGGAGCATTAACATAATTAATTAAAATTAATATAGCAGGAAGATACAGGTATTTAGCATTAACCAGGATCTCTGCATCTAAAGAAAAATGTCTGTTTATCAAAATCCTAACCACCCACATGATTGAAATGCTAGTGTTTTGATTTTGTCTGAATGTATATTTAGTTCTATATCTCAAGATTTAGTCTGAAATTAGCTTACTATATCTCAAATTATCACAGAGTATAGACCTAAGGAAAGAATGTCAGACTCTCTTTTCCTCAGACTTCCTTGAGCTACTCCAACAATCCCAACCCTGCTAATTTATTTGGGATTATGTTTGTTTATCACAGCAATCACAGTAAGATAGACTAGCTTGCTAGAGAGAACATGAGGTGCTGTTATGTCTATTATGTAGAAAAAGGTACACTGCAGTGATTAATGAGATACTGCTACCTCAAAGTACTGTTGCTATATGGCATGGCACACTGTCAGTAGAGATACCATCTTAGGTACAAACCCCCAGAGTAACTGTATTTACTATTTTTTCTGAATATTAATAATTGGATTTTAAAATTAAAGATAAGACCCAAATGTCACAATACTCTGTGTACAATGGTAACTAAAAATTGGATTTTATTACAGGAATGGAACAACAACAAAAAAAACAAACCAGGGTGGCTGCAGCAGTTTTTTGGTCTTTTTTTTTCATAATGAAGAGCTTAGAGAAAAGGTATCTACCCAAGTAGACAGGCCAGAAAAATGTCACCTGATCCACTGTGGAGAAGCTTGTCACAAACTGTAAATAGTTCTGCTTTGATGTCATAAATGAAGCCCTTCATACAGACTGGAATGCTTGGTTAATTGAATGTGACTTTTTCATTGATGTGATATGAAAACTCCCAAGGCAACTTCTGAATTTTATCTGACTTCCTTTTCCTCATTTAAAGCTGAATGATTTCCTTCCATGGTTTTATCACTGGGCCAGAAAGGCTGATAATATTGCTTCCTTCCCCTGTTAGATGTATTTGGACTTCTGCCATCCTGTCTTGAAAAGTAATACATTCGATTTCCTGTCCCGGGCAGAGCAACTGCCTTCATTCATAAAATGGAAGATTAACGTAAGCAATGGAAAATCAAGTGAAGAGACAGTTTGCATCTAAGCTATTTGAATTCCCAGCCATTGTCCCCAGTGATTTACTGCTATGAGGACATGCTTGAGCAGCATGAAGCAAATGTCTCCTCAGAAGACTGACTGCTGTGAACTACTGTGACCTCTCTCAGGAGGGAGGTGCTAAGGGTCTGAAACTCTCCCCCACCTCTCCCTTATGGTTCCTCTCTTCCATTCTCTTCCCCATTACACACTTTTGATACAGAGCTCTGTTCTTATCAGCCCTTTGCACACCAGAATGAAGCAGGTGCAAGGGAGATGAAAGCATGACCTAATTTAATCCTACTCTGCACCTCTCCTATGAAGGAGAATTTCTAGGGCTACAGCCAAAAGTGATTCTGCACTTTTGAGGCAATATAGAAAAACTCTTTCCCTTCCTACTTCATCTCCTCAGCAGGAAGAATTATGTTAGACTTAACAGAATTGTCAGTATTTATCATAAATGTTCTTGCATCCTCAATTGGACCTCAGCCCAAGGCATGAGGAAGTGCAGCAGCTACAGGGCAGTGACACAGCTCCTGTACAGAAATGCTACGAGGCGTGAATCATTAAAGTTATCTTGTTCCTGAGCACAAGCACAAAGACAACAGCTGTATTCACAAGATACACAATACCACATCCTACTGCACCTAAAAGAAAGGATCAGTCCTGAACTGATGCATTAAATAAAAAATACACCCACTGATTAATATAAAGTTTCCATAGCTTGTTTTTTGTGTCATTTTGAAACATATTTCATTTGTCAGGCAGTTTTCCAATAGCATTAACCTCAGTCTGCTGTAGTATTCTCATTTCTTTGCCAGGAAGACCTTTTGAAGCACTCAATGCAATCTGAATTTCATATTCTCACTTCAGAAAGGGACGTATTTCATTGATGAGTGATCTCTCCTCACATGGGCAAGACACAGCTCATGACTGCCTCATGGCTCATCAGTCTGGATGTAAGGTTTGCTGCAGCAGCATCAGTGAAGCCATCAGTGGTGCTGGCTGGCTCCCTCTGAGACACGGGCCCAACCTGGCAGCTGCTTCATGCAGCTTTACTGTGTGCCTTCCCCAGGGTGAAGGGACCCCAAGGTCCTTCCCAGCCCCCCTCCATTCCTGTTAGCATATCCCCACTTCTCCTCTAAGTTCTCTTATATTTTTCCAGCTACAGTTCCAATCCTCTGCTCCTATTTTCCTCTCCCCAGATACTTCCCTTTCCTTCATGCCCAGCACCCATCCCCTGAATTCCTTCCTGGCTCAGTGTGTAGGGCACTGAGCTGCTGTCCTTGTGAGGCTGCACTGAGCTGCCAGGATGTCCTTGTGGTTCCTCAGCAGCCCTGCTCCAACACACACTGAGGTCCTGCACAGCTCTGCACAGTTCTGTGATTGTCTCAGAAAACCTGGAACATGTTTCCTGCCCATAAAACTAATTTGGGAAGGGTGGAATAGGCTGCCTATGCTTATGTCATTTTACAAAAAAGATTATTTTCATGCAAGGCTTTTTCTGAGAGGCAGCATCTGAATAATAATACAAGTACAATATAAAATTATCAGCCAAGTTACACTCATAAGTACCTAAAAATATATATAAATATGTACTTATGGACATATACATAACCACTTAATAGAAGTGGATTAATGAATCAGATTTTTCAAAAATTTCATAAATTCTATAAAAGCCTTAGCAAACAAATTCTATGCTCCCAAGATAAAAAAAAAAAGTGCCATCCATTTAACTGCTGAGACAGTTGAAAAAACATAGAACAAATTAAATTCCTAAATTATGATATGGTTAAGTTGAATATAGCTTGGAAAAAGCTGCACTTCAGGTGAAAATCAACCTTTTGAAGAAATTTAGGAGATGAAGTCATTATATGGACAATTTACTGCCAGAAGAGAACACTATCATCCCATGCTGAAATGCTGACTGATCTGGCACTAATCTGAATGTATTAAAATTATTATTCTTCAAAATATTTCAGTTTTCACATTCATTAAAAGCTGAATTTTAACTCTAAAACTTTAATCCTTTATCTTTACCACAGTAGAAAGCAATGCAAACATGGTAAAGAAAGAAACACATCAAGAAATCTTGAAAAGTAATTTGGTTTCATTTTCAATGAGATACAGATATATGTGGTCTTGTGGTCTGGGTGCCGTAGCAAAAGCCAGGATTTTTATATTTCCAGTCCTGCCTTAAGAGAGCTCTGTGTACCTATTACTTTAGTTTTTCAGAGTGGCTAAAATTCAGTAAGAAGCAATGATATTTTAAGACATTTTAATACAACAGAAGAGATTTATAACTTTCAAATTGGACAGAAAAATTTCCCCATTAAGATGATCATTAAGAAATATTAACAAATGGGTAAAGAACAAAATATTTGCTTCTCTTTTGGATAGCAGCAAAAGTTGGACTTTTGCAGAAAAGACCTAAAAATATGGCATAGACTAAACCCCACAGGTTTAATAGAAAAAAAAACAGAAACATGTTCTATAGGAACATTGCTACATCCAAACTATGTAATTTTCTGGAGAATCACAGCCTTTCTTTGTAAATTTCAGAAGTTATTGGAGAAATATAAATTTCTGTCTATATTTATTTTTTTTGGAATTATTATGACCTGGTAGCTATATTCTGATATTGTGATTTTCTCTTATTAAAGCCATTCTTTAAAGAACCAATCAAACTTCCAGGCCTGCAGCTATATGCATCTTGTTGTTTATTTTACAGTAAAATTTTACCTAGGAAGTTATTTGCCTTTTTACATTTGGCAACTTAAGTATAACATACAGTAAATATAGAAAAATGAACATCACTGTGTGTTTGGAACTGAGGCCTGATTTTGTGGCAATAGGTGATACTTATTTGGTTTTGCTTTTCTCCTCTGGGTTATAAAGTTGTCACTTCACAGGATATTATTTTGACATCAATTCTCAAAGTAAATACAACCCCAGCAGTCAGCACTTCTGAGACAGTTACAGAGCAGTCTCTGCTCTCCCCAGCTCCACGGAGTATCTGCTCACCTGTCAGTGAACACTTGTGGTTTTTGGAAGATGCTGCTGCCAGGCACCAGGGACAGTCTTCAGAAGAGCCATAGCTGTGGGAATGCAGCAGCAGGAAGACAATGCAGATCACAGCTGAATAAATGCAAATTTTTTATACTTTGAAAAATAGAGATTTAGTCATTGTGCCATATTCATTGAATCCACATTAAATCAAACCTTTGGTATTGCCTCTGCTTTTATGGAGCTAGACAGCATTTTAACATTTTGCTGTACTGTATGGCAATGGGATTAGACCCCCTGGTAGAATTTATGAAACTGAAGAAACTTAGCTCAAAAGAAAATTCACCAGCTTCTCTGACCCGGTGTTTTCTTTTCTCAAAATACATCCTCATTCCTTCTGCTACATTTTAATGTAACTCATGATATGCCTTATCTTAGGTAGCATCAAAAATGGTAAATTGCCTCATAGAGGCCATTATATGATTTGTCTCTCTTTCCTAGGAACCTTTTGATAATTTAGTTCTTCTCCAGAACTTAGCTTTGTATATTCGAAGCCTTTTCTTCATTTCTTGAAATCCTGCCTAGGGCTGAAAGCAACTCCAAATGAACTGGATATATTGCTTTTCCAGCCCACTTTGCTTGGGAATGTATGGCATTCACAGTCTCAGAAGTATAACTGTCAAAGTTGGAAAATGGAACAACCAGGAATTGTTTATTTCATTATTTCTGTCTATATGCAGCTTGAAAATCTGTGGTGGCTGTGATTTTCCTTACTTAAGTAATTTACAATTATGGATGAAAATTGACAAATTTTCAGCACAATAATTCTTGGTCCATTGTTTGAATAAATCTTTAAGCCTTTGTCATTCCAAATGTGCATGTTCCCAAAATCTTAAGTTAGCAGACTGTTTTTTTCTCCTTTGTTGACAAATGACAAATAGGTAATTAAAATATGTAAGCATGGAAAATTGATTTTTAAGTGTTTATAAGGATTTTTAATTTTAGTATTCCTCCTATTTCTGTCAGTCTTTTGCATCCAGTCACCCATATCCTTCTGAGGTATTTCTGTCCTTCCAGAATATCCTCTAAAATTTAAAAAAGTAACCCAGAGTAACACAATCACCCTCTCTCTTTAAATTAATTTTTCCTCTTTTCTCTTACAATGCATACATTTTCAAGCAGTGATGGATATAGTGGTTAGGCTAAGATGTTTCCTTGGCTGTTTCCCTGACTGACTTGCTCTCATCCTGTGTGTTCCTTATCTGTGAACAGCAGGTTCTTTCGTTTCTTTGAATAACTTACATAAGTTTTCATTCCCAAGGGTTAGTGAGACACTATTATTTTAATGTCATTTGAATTGTGATAGTATCTAGAAACTTCATCTCTACATACTGTGATATCTCCTGTACAAAGTAATAAATTATATTCCCTTATAATCCAAGAAAGAAGCAGCCATTAGCTCTGCCAAGGCATGATGGGCCCCTTGTATTTCCAGAGGATTTCAGCTCCTGAATGTTCTAAGTGATTTTGTTTCCAGCACTTATTCTAGGAGACTATTTCACAATCAAATATGTCACTCTGTCACAAAGTTCTTCCTGCTATTCAGCTGACAATTTCTGTTCCCTTTTAAAGTGCAATGTTTCTGTTTGTATTGCCCAACGCCCCTCAGAACAGAACCTCTGGTAAAAGCCACAACAGGATTTTGACTCATTGGCTTATTTCACATCTGGGATAACTGTACAGGAAGTAATATGATTCTCCAAATGTTCTCATTTTATATTTTGACATATAAACTAAAGTTGTCTATGAACACCTAGAACGAGCCATGCTTAGAAACAGAAGAAAATCAGTTTGTATTTACGTAGACATTAAAACTTTATCCAAGGCTTAATCTGCAATATTTTCTTTATTTCCTATCCTGCTTGCTGCTGGACTGCTTTTGCTGTCATCATTCTTGCACCATATTTTGTTGACTGCCCTACTGTCCAAATTCTATGGAATTGTGACAGTCAAAAATGCTCAATCTGTATTATCTTTCCTTTTTCCTGTTCAATTAATTTTAAAGGAATTTAGTTTTTGTTTATAATTTGGAAGAAGATTGAGGCAACCTGCACAACCTTTGCCTGTGCTCAGACAAGATCTAAGCCTTTGAACACCTAATTGTTAAGTTCAATCATTCTGTAACAAAGAGGGAAAAAAAGAGCTGTGTTTTTAAACTTGAGTTACAATATTTATGTAATTTGACATGGTAATTGGCAACTGTGAAGTTCTGAGTATCCTAAGAGAAATTAAGAATGTTGTATTTAATGCCTCAGTTTTCAGATTTTGATTTTTAAAACCAAGTGGCTGAGGAAAAAAAACCCCGTTCCTTTATTTGTAAACTGGGCATATATAGAGTTTTTATCTCTGTGTTTTTCCTAATCCTTCAAGAGTCTTTATAGATACAGTCTGTATTACATTTAAAGGCATAATTAATCACTGGAACAAATCTACTAATTTTTACAAATTTCATTCTACATGAAAGAAACATTTGAATCCCCAAACTTTAAAAGAAGATGTGCCAGGTCTGAATAAGTTAATACATTTAGTAAGACCATAGTCCTAGTGATCTCACTTTAAAAACCTATTGCTTGATAAACCTAAACCACAGCAGATGGAATCATTATTCTGTGTGTCTCTGTATGTCTCCTGGTCATTGCATTCTTCAGGCAGAAGAAATCCTGCTTGTGATTAGAGTGAAAGCAGAATGGCTGCCAAACATCTGTGAGAAATTGAACATTTTTCATTTATAATCTGAAACCTGAGTGGACAACTAGTTGTTGGCCTCTTCTGTCTAGACTGGTGTTGTTCCCCACCCCCAATTCCATGTATAAGGGTCAGCCAGGAACCTGCAGGATGGAAAGAAAATGGTCCAAAATGACTAACACTTTTTATTCAAGTAATCAGAGTTCACTTCTCCACTCATTTCTTCCACCTCCATCAAAGTACAAGTAAAAGAAAAACCTGATTTTAGAGTTGACACCTATGAAAATAAAATGCCTGGCACAGGTTCTAAGAAAAGGCATGCCCTGGTTTTAATTTGTGTTCTGTAGAGGGCCCCTAAAAGTGAAAAAGCATGTGCTTAAGGCCCCTTGCAGCTATGAGACTGCAATGGGAGTAAGTTCTTTATACCCTCACTTTATTTACAATCCTTTGCTCATGAAAGTGATTTTTTTAATTACTCAGAGTTTCATCCTTAACTATTTATTCGAGATTTTACTCTAATAAAAATCTCTCTTACAAAGGACACTGTGCATGTTAGTTAAGCTTCCCAAATAATGCTTAGGTCAAATAAGTTAATTATAGTCCTTCCTTTGACAGACTGGAAAAGTGAGTTATGGCAATGTATTTTTGGGAAAAAAGTGGTGAGGAAGACGTTTAAACTTACACGCCAACATTTCAAATTAAGAGCAATTATAAGTAGTTAGAGGCTGAATTTTGGAAGGCTGATCATTCAGAAACTCAACTAAGTTTAATAACTAATTAATAACATAAGCCTAGCTATGAAATTGTACTTGAAATTGCATAAATGAAATGTATAAGCCTGCTACATCCACTATATCAGTGTGTCCATAATGAATTAAATAAAAAGTGGGAAAGGGAAAGGTGGAAGGATTTGGATGCAGTTAATATCAGCATGAAGCCAGCTCATAGGTCAAGATCTCACCAGAGCTATTCCCAATGAAGACGGAGTCATGGCACAACAGGTCACAGCACCAGTGGCAGGAAGCTGGAGAAAGATGGTGCTGATGGGATCTCATATATTTAATAGATTTTGAAAAATGTATCTTTTCTTGCAAATAAGAGCTGTAATTCTACATTTCAGTTTCCTTTTCATCCATGAGATGGGAGAATATCATCTTGCAAGATGACCCTATTGTTATTTAAATGAAGCTTTTAGTGTTTAATCATTATAATACAGTTTTGTACCAGCAGATTATATACAAGAAATTGTATAGTAGCATCTGTGATTAATATGACAAATTGCCTCTTTTTTAGTTTCCATGGCATTATCTCTACCAAGAACTGGATTTTATTTCTTTCAAAAATATTAAGTAAATCTGTGAATTCTATTGTACTTTTATCCACTTAACAGTGCAAATGTTCTGATTCATGGGAAGTGCTTTTTGCTAATAATGACACAGTATCTAGGAGTTTGTGCTAAACCTTTAATCAAATTCCTCCTGGTTTGCTTTTGCTCTTGGGTATAAAACCAGAAATGGTCACAGAATTGCGAGCTTGGAGAAAGATCAAAGAGACAGTGAGAAAATAAAGCAAATACACATAACTGCAATGAATATTGCTGATAAGCACATCCCAGTGGGTGCAGAAAACACACAGTACTGTTATGACCACTCTCAAAGTTTGAGTTGAAACTTGATATTTGACTGAACAGAGACAAAAGCTTGTAAATACATTACAGCTTATTTCTAGTAAAATCTGGTTTTATTACCATAGAGTCTAGACTGAACTGAGATTGGAATTCAAATCTTCATAGGTACTGTGCAGCTAAAAAAAAGGCTAGAAGGAAATGTTGAAGAAAGGTGGTAATTTTTTCCATTTTATAGGTTGGAAACTAAAACACAAAATGTTTCAAGCTTAACTGAAATCCCAGTGATTTCTATGGGCTGTGGTTAGACTCTTGGATCACACCCATGTTGTAGCACCTGCCAAGCTGCAGCAGGACAGTGCAAGGGCGTTGGCAAGATAAGGCAATAATGCAGGTGGCTCTGCTGAAAATGGGATAAAGCAGCAGAGACATTGCTGCCCAGGACCATGGAGGTCTGCAAGGACTCATGGGAGGAGTGGGTGCTTCTGGAGACATCCCTTAGTTTACTCACAGTGTGTCTTTATGACTGCCCAGGAGCAATCAAAATTTAAGACTGAGATCATGAGGAAATTTGGTTTTAAGAACACGATAACAGGCATTCTTTTATCCACATACAATATAACTCAATTTTACATGAGCATTTGAATATAGACCCAAGCTTTCCATAATTCAGGAATAACCCATTCCTCTAGTTTAAGTCCTTCAGAAATCAAACAGTTCAGT